AAAATCCTGTCATGTCCTTATTCACTGCAGTAGAAAAGAGCGTTTCTGTTTTTTCAGCTTGCTTTATTTTCTGTCATGTTTGGAGTTTGAAAACATGCATTTAAATTCATGCTCAGCTGCTCAAGTCATTCCTAAAATAGCAAAAGTCTGACAACACAAAGTCATTTTAATGTTTAAGATGTGAAAACTGGTCCTGTGTTTTATTTATGAACGTGTGGGTACTTTTATAGCTTTTATGTGTAACTATTGTTTCTTTTATTTCCTTCAGTCCTCAAACACCTCTACCTGACATTACTTTATAAAGAGTAAAGTTTCCTTGGGCTAATTTAAAAAAAAAAATCATAGTTTAAGAAGAGTTTAAGGAGATTTTTGTGACATCATGAATGAAGTAAAACACTGGTTTGGTAATAAACAAGCACAGTGTGGAAAACTGAAAGCTTTACTAAGCAGAAAATTAGACAGGGTGTGAAATGGAAATAATTTCAAAGATCTTAATATATTTAGCAAAAGCATCATTAAGTCATTTTGTTTCTCTAGGGTCATTTCACATCTTTAAGTTCCCAGTAACTTACGCAGAAATGAGCAAATGACAGAACATTAAAGATCAATAAAGCCATTGGGATGTCATCTTTTGATTGACAACTGTTTTTTTATTGTCTCAACTTTACATGCAAGGTATGTTTCTGAGTCCTTTCGGCTGCTCCTTTAATCAAGGGTCACCACAGAGAACTAAGTCGTACGAAGACTTGGCAATTATTTTTTACGCCGGATACGATTCCTGACAACCACGGACCACTGAGCTACCACAGTCCTCTGTGTGGAGCAGAGAGCTGCTGTCTAGGGTGCCCAGGGAAGCAGGTGGTGGGGGTTAAGGGTCTTGCTCAAAGGTCCAGAGTGAAGCAAATGAGGGTGGAGACAGGTGTGGGTTTTATATATATATATATATATATGTGTGTATGTGTATATATTATATATACACATACTGCGCATCAGTTCGGTAACCCATCTGCCCCTCTCCATATGTTTCCATTGGATTGCATTCTTTAAATCCTAGCATATTCTACAATGTAAAAGGATGATGTGCAGAAAATAATCCACACCTATAAAATTTTTAAACTAAGATTTTGTTCAAGCAGCTGTGCAGATTATCTCACATTAGGAACTGACCTAAAGAGCCTATTTTCTAGAAGTTCAGTTTCACATTTGCATTTGTTCCTTATTCCTATAAACCGCTATAAAAACTGTCCTGCCGTCAGATCTCACCTAGAATTCATTGCACGTTCCTAAAGAGAAGCAGAGACTTCATCGTATATACAAACATGCTGTTTAAGCAGTAAAATGTTGGTGGAAAGTGACGATCATCTTGTCAAACTGCTGCATTACAGAAAAAAAACTTGTTAAAACTTTAAAATGTAATAAACCTATTACAAAGTAAAAGTTACAGACATAGTATTTGTCTTATGGTCCTTTTCGGTTTGTCTTTTCCAAAGGAGTTCAGCGTAGTTCTATTAAATCTGCTTTCTTTTAACCTCTTAGCAGGTTCTTGATAAATCACACATGCTTCAGTTTATTTTAGGTTTGTTTACTTTAGATTTCATCTGTGATGTATTTCATCACACCCTCTTTGTTTTGCACCTTTATGAAGTAAGAGCAACATTCCAAGCATGCAAACAACATCCTCAATGACTTTTTGAAGGCGCTTACAGACGCCCTCTGTTGATTGACTTTCCGATGGACGCATCCTGTCCACCTTTTCGGATCCGTTTCCCCCTTCCTCATCCCTGCAGTGCAGAGTCATGATCGGAGCTGTCCTCTGAGAGAAGGCCGGAAACTCGCACTGATGTTTGCTCAGCCAGCTGGAAATGATGTACGTGTTTGTGCAAGAGGAAGACGAGGAAGGTGTGAGGCAGAGGAAGAAGACCAGTTGGTCATCCAGGCCTCAAAGGGATTATTGGAATAACAGTGGTTGAGCTGTTGTTTTTTTAACAGGGTGTCCTGTATCCTGTTTGGTCTACATTTTCCAGCACCTCCATAATGACTTATTATTAGAAAGCTTTTCGTTTATTGTTCGTCCAGGATTTGTAGCAACCTCAATTCTGACAATGTTGGGACGTTGTATGAAATATAAATAAACGATTATTAGAAAATCACATGAACCCATACTTCATTTAGAGTGAAACAAATTATGCAAATCAAAAGTTGAAATTAATGAATTGTACTTTTTTTTTTAAACACATAAATAAATTGTAATTTTGAACTCAATGGCAGCAACACATCTCATCAAAAGTTGGGATAAGAGCAACTAAAGGATGTAAAAGTGAGAGGTATGAATAAGAATCAGCTGGAGGAGCATTTTGTAATTTATGAGGTTGCTTGGCAGCAGGTTGATAAAAGGACTGGGTATAAAAAAATGCTTTTTAGAGGTTGAATCTCTCAGAAGCAAAGAAGTTAACCAGTCTGTAGAAAAAAAAATCATAAGTATTTAAAAATTCTAAATAATTCAGTTAAATACAAAATACTTTATTAATCCCAAAGGGAAATTAAATGTTGTTGTAGCTCATCATGCTGGTTTCATTCACAGTTGTTATAGATGCTAATGGCTGTGCAGGAAAGATCTACAGCACATCTGAAGAAACTGGCTGCAGATCCGTCCACCTGGACCCAGTGGGCCTCTCGGTCCTCCTGGGCAGCAGGACCACCTGAATGTTGTGCAGAACTCCTGATGGCCACTCCTCTCAGCAGCTTGTTGAGCTCCTCGTCTTTGCAGACACCAGCTGCGGGTGTCGGGGGATGATCCTGGTCTTCTTGTTGTCATGAGCCACATTTCCTGCCCAGCAGTCAGTCAAGCACCTCCGTCAGGTAGACAAAGATGCATCCACAATGCCTCCTTTTCAACTCATTTGGGATTTGGGGCTGTATTTGAGGGAATATTTGAGCTTTGAGATGTTAATCAGCTGCTCCCGGATGTAAAAACTACCTTGTTGTCATGGTTACGCTTCATAACAAATGTCCAAAAGAAAAAAGATTTCAGTAAAAATTCTTACGGCTGCACAGCATCAGATCCCAGAGGAAGTAATCATCTGGAAAAAAAAAAGCAATTTACATCCAGAAAAAAAGTGTAAATAAAGTTTTCAAAAGCAAAATCTCAGAATGAAAGTAGCAGTTACTCCAACATGCAGCCATCTTGAACAGCGCAATTCTAGAACTAATGGTTCTCTGCTGAAAATTTGGATAACTTGGAATGTCCGATCATCTACAGCTCATAATACCATCAAAACCTTTCAAGAATTTGGAGACATTTCTGTGCATAAAAGTCAAGCCTGAAAGTGAATATTGGATGTAATCTTTGGGTTAATTTTTCAGCATGGACTCAGAAATCTACAAATCACTGTCTGTAAACACAGTTTGCTGTGCTAGCCTCAAATGCTGGTTAAAGCAGTCATGCCTGCATGGACCAGAACTAATTTTATATATACGGAAACAAAAAGAAAAACGGTTTTGAGGGCAGACAAATTAAACTTTGGAATTTTTTTGTGACACCATGAACGTCACATCGTTGTTACCAAAGAGAAGCGAGACCATCCAGCTTGTTCTCAGCAAATTGTTCAAAAGGCTGCCTCACTGATGGTGTGGGGGTGCATTAGTGCCTCTGGCATCAGCAGCTTGCACATGTAGAAGCACTCCTTCATGCAGAAAAGTAAATACAGGTTTTAAAATGGCATGTGCTTCCATCCAGTAAAATATCTGGCAAAGACGGCCCAGGACTGTTGAACAGCTGAAATCCTGCATGTGACAAGAAAAATCATCATTTCCTACAGACTGGTCAAAAGAAGAAGTGAACATGGCTCTGTCAATACTTTTTTTGGGTACACGATGCTGCTATAAATTTAAAATTACCTTCTTTCCCATAAAAAGAGAAAAAAAATGGACACTTTAATGTTTCCTATGTTTCACTGTGAATAAATGAATTTATGGGATTTGCATCCATCAGTTCGGCTTTTAACTACATTTTACAGTGGCAGTGTCCCGTCTATTTTTTTATGGGATTGTATTTTTAAAATCAATATTTCACTATAGAATCCTTAACGGACTTTAAGTTTTATATCTGACATAGTGACAAAATGCTTTAAATATAGATGCAAATGTATCTTATAGAGAGTAGACGATGGTTAGAAAAGAGATTTAAAAGTGTAAACAGTTTGTCTCTGTTCAAGGACACGATGATAAAAGAGCCGTGAAGCAGCACTAAAGAGGTTTTCACCTTTCTGTGTGTTCTATAACAGCTCCGTGCTTAGAAAAGGTTTGCAAGGTTGCAAAGTCTCCAACAAAGAAGGTTATTCTTTCTCTTCCCAGAAGACGCTGCTCCTGGACAGTAGAGAGATGCCTCATTTGTCAAGCAGCCTTTTTCTCAAGTTTCTTATCAGCATCACCATGTAACACATTTGCATAATGCCTGCCCTGGCCGTTTATTTGGCTTCCATTAAACAAAGAATGAGCGCCTGGCTGGTACTCCTTCATTTCTGACCCATCAGCCAGCTCGGCTGTTTGGGGGGTGGGGGGGTGGAGGAGGTAAAGGGTCACAAGAGGCGCTGCATCAATACGAGGAAGAAAAATGTGTTTTCTGTAAAGTTTAAGGAGGATGTCAAAACAGAATCATCAACTTTTAAATGAGCACTGAGCAGACACTTTCAAGATTCTGTAAAGGGTGCGTTTGTCCCATACACATGGATATTCAGCACATAAAAAAAGACTTTTATACAACAAACTCATAGTCAGAGAGAAGAAAAATATTTGACAACACTGCTTTAGGCTGATTTGTTGGTTTGTGGCTTCAAACTTGAATCCTTGGATTTGACTTAAGGCATCGTCAAATCTCAGTGGGCCTCCTTTTCATCTTTAAAATATAGGTTGTTCTACTTAGGAACGTTATCCTGTGACTTATGTTTAGTCTGTTAGGAATTTCTAAAGAGGGAATTCAAAAGAAAACAAGACACGGCTCATCTGGTTCTGCTGGTTTACTACAGTGCATCAATAGCCAGGGAGACTTGGGCAAAGACGTCATTGACCGGCAGCTCAGAGTCCACCTGTGGGTCAGAACAAGAATTAGATTTTAAAACTCATTTGCTATTTGATTTATAGGCAGCGCATCTGTCCCACGCACCTTCCTCACGATGCCCCTGCCCTCGTAAAAAGCGATGACCGGCTCGGTTGCTTTGTAATACAAGTCCAGGCGCTTCTTGATGGTCTCTTCGTTATCGTCAGAGCGGCCGCTGGTCTCACCACGCTTCAAGAGCCTACCGACCATGGTTTCTGCCTTTGCGTCGACGTACAGCAGCAGGCAAGGTTTGCCAATCTGGGATCAGAGAGTTGACTAATGAGTTTATTTTTTATTTTTTTGTTGTTTTCAGTGCTGCAGGAGTTGCATTTTGAAATGTGAGACTCTGCAAACGCACCCACCTTCTTCTCAAACTCCTCTCCCTGCTTTACCTCACGGGGGTAGCCGTCTATAAGAAAGCCCTTGGAGACATCCGCCTTGGCAATCATGGCATCTTTAATCATGTCTAAGACTGTGTCCTGCAAGCAGACGTCAGACATGCTGATCAGCCTTCATCATGACTTAATACTTCTGACAGAAAATACAAAAAACGTTGCCAATAGGTTTGCACTCTTAGTTCACATTGAATTCTGGGTCATTTTCTTACCAGGGGTACAAGCTCTCCCTTCTGCATGATGGCCAGCAGGTTCTTGCCCCTTTCAGAGCCCGAGGCCACCTCGGCACGGAGCAGATCACCAGAAGACAGGTGAGTGTAGCCATACTTTTCAACTATCTTCTCACACTGGGTGCCCTTTCCAGAGCCAGGTCCGCCTAAAAAAATATAAATAAAAACGAACAACAGCTTCAGTGTAGCAGGACAGACTGGTTAAATGTGCTGCTGATGAAGAATTAAGGCTCAGTGTACTCACCCACAACAAAGATGATCTTGGCATCTTTTATTTTGTCTGAAATCAAAGCAGACAAAAAGATTATGATGCAAATTGTCTAAATGCAACAATTAAACCCACAACAGGTTAGAGTGTAACGAACCAGCTTGTGAGTCAAATGTGGATGTTTTTTCTGTATTTTGTTGCTCCATGTCTGCTGCTCCAACAGGTTGTTTTGACTGTTTGGTTTGTGATATTACTCAAACTGCGTTCGCATGGCAATGGTTGCTATAACATCAGGCTTTACATGAAAATAAAGGGAAATGCAATAAAGGCTTCAACTGCATATTTAAATTTAATACATTTGTAATACCATATTACAGGTTTACTGTGTTATATTACGTAATTTAGTGTCAGATTTTTTATTTTTATTTTTTTTAAATTAATGTGAAGTGGTGGGATATTTTTTTTGCCTTCTGAAAAATCACCAGCAGAGGGCGGTAGAGACCAAAACATTACATTTGACTGCCTGTAGTTTCTCCCACTCATAGAATAGAATAGAATAGAATAGAATAGAATAGAATAGAATAGAATAGAATAGAATAGAATAGAATAGAATAGAATAGAATAGAAACAGCCTTTATTGTCCCACGGATGGGAAATTCAAGTGTAACAGCAGCAACAGATAAAAAAGATCCACACAAAAAGTAATGAAAACAAATTAATATGAGCATTTAATTATATTTAGGTGAGCAGTTATCACTATTATCACCTTAATGACACACGTGCATTCATTACCTGCCATTGTGTTGCGTCTTCAGAGTGTTTTCCTTTAACTAAAGAAAATAAAAAGACAACAAAGTCATGTTAACACATTTTTAAGGTGTAGACGAAATAAGCCAGTTTTAGTTATTTTACAAAAAAAAACCCTTAATTTTGCTCTCACTAACATTATCTTTTAAGTATTTTTTTTTTCTAATCAATTATTCATATGTATTAGTAGCACAATCACACTAGGACATCAATAGAATGCAAACAGAATCTTTATGTTGTTTCTCTTTTTGTTTATTAAGCGACACAGTTCTACAGCTTCCTGCTTTTAGACCTTAGTTTTCATTTGTCTTCGAATGTGCCAAGAGTTACCGCTGCACTTTGACTTTTAAAACCTCTGGTCTGAACCTCTGCAGAGAGGATGTGTTTTGTTGTAAATTAGGTGTCAAGACTCTGCTGCTGCCAGCTCAACATATCAGGGAGAACAAATAAAAGAGCCTGAGTCGACTCGACAATCTGGATCTGCACTTGTGCCTTTCTCTCTTGGCATTAAATTGATTTTAAGTGAATATTTATCCCTGTGATGGACTTGCGACCGGTCCAGGGTGTACCCCGCCCCTCGCACAGTGATTGCTGGGCATGGGCACCGGCGACCCCCGAGACCCAAAATGGAAGAAGCGGGTAAAAGATAATGGATGGATGGATGAATATTTATCAATTAAAGCGTAATCAAAAACAAAAATGACCCATGACTTTAAGGATAAGTATGGCTGCTTTTGTCCTTTAGCGCAGGGGGTTCTTCTCAAACTTTTTGGGTTCATGGAGAAAAAGTTTCAGGGACACCCCCCCCCCCCCCCTCATGTTCATTAAACAATTTTCTTCAGGTTGTCCCTTTAATGCAATGGAAATATTTGTGTAATTAAAACCTGTTCTTCTAGTGTTAATACAATTTTTTCATACTTTTAAACATGGGGTATTTTTCATTCAAGACACATTTTATTAAAATGTTTGATTTCAACTTCCAAAAATTAAAGTTTTGAGAAAATTAACAGCATTAAAAAAAAAAAACACTTTAAAACTTTACCTATTCACATAATGAACATAAATGTTTTTCCACTTCTTCAATACAGAAAACTCTTTACATAAAACTGGACAGAATCAGAACAGCAGGAGTCATACCAAGTGACAGGACTTAATTTGTAAACTCATCGATGACGGAAGCCGGCCAAAAATTATTATTTTTATTGACGGACCCTCACAAGCACCGGCTCACAAATCCCAGTTTGAGAACCCCTGCTTTAGAGCAGGTTACTTCCTGCTGCACCTCCAGCTTTTTATCCAACATTTGGCACATCACTATTAATTAGGTACAAACAGCAAATAGGTCTAAAGAAGACAACGAGCACAACGGGTCTCTTCTTACTCTATTTTTCTTTTAGCTGACGAGGAAGAATGAGGACGGTGATTCTGCAGAAGTGTCAGCAGTTATCTTTGTGTTGCAGCTTGCTGGTGTTAAGAAGTCAATTTGAGAAGAAGCTACACCACAGTTTCATTTTATCTGCTTTCTTTAAAGGTTTCTCCTGTAACGTGCAGCTGCTGCCCATTGATTAGGGTAGAGTCTGTTTGCTGCATTTTATATATTTATTTATTGGAAGTTTCACACTCAAGTTATTTTTACAGCTAACGGAACAACATTTTTAAGCAAAGTTGTGTTTTGATGTTCTGGCCTGCCTTTAATGAATCATCCCAGCATCAGATTAAATTAATAAAATAAGCCATTAGGATTATTACTACACAGTTTATAATTTAAGTCAGTCATACAGAAGAGTGGTACAAACTGGTTTGTTCTGTAAAAGCGCCTCAGCAGTGGTGCTGTGTGTCAGGTGTCCAGTTTTATGTCGGCGCACATTAACCCCGCCGCCAGGCTAAATGTCACTTGAAGACTGGTATCTGAGTCAGCACAGAGCCTCTTTGGGAATCCCACCCTGGCCTATTATGGCACCATCCCCTGGGTCCACTGCCTCTTTGGCATTTTAGATCCGTCCAATGGGTTTGTTCTTGCAAAATAAGGAAAACAATATGTGGCATTTCTGCAGTTTAATGTGTTCATGTGTAAAATTAGAGTTTTGCTACTTTATATTCGTTTGAATTCTTCTGAGCCTTCATCCACTCTGTTCTCCTTAAAATGTACTAAAACATAAATTCTGCAACAACTCAATGAGTTTAAAAAAAAAAAAGTGTTTAACCTTAAATATAAATGTGGCCCTCGTTGACATCTTATCTGGCCCCCAAGATGATATGTGAAACGTAAAATACTTCTTTCTCTTGAGTTTCTTCAGTAATGTTTGATTATGATGTCGAAAGCACAACAGAGAACAACAAATGAGACCAATCAAACTCTTGTTGAGGAACCTGTGACCAAGAAAAGAGGTTGGGTATTTAATTTCAGTGAATGTAGATTCTGAAATCGGTCCTTAGTTTGAAAAAAAGTTTTGATTTTGGGCCCCTTTTGTAAGTGAGTTTGACACCCCTGTAACTATAAAGTCAAAATCCCGAACAGATAACTCCCACCCTAACGTCCTGTCCCACCCACATCTTATTGATGTTTTTTAACATGCTGCTAAAAAAAGACAGTGAGTCTGCAGCTGTTACGGGATATTGTATCAAGCAGTGAAAAGGCACATGGAGATGAAGCTCTGGCTGTCTGCTCTTGAAGCAACAGGAGAAAAAAACAAACTACTGAGTGCCTGATTCCCTCCCTTTCTCAAATAGACAAGTTAGTTGAGATTTTCTTCAACTTAATTATGCGTACTGTCCCTTTAAGGAAGAAGTGGGGAACTCTTTGACGTCAGAGGACTTGGAGATATTCCATGATGTTTGTGAAAGGATGGAGCGTGAGAAATCTTGTTGTTTCGCTGCTACTGTTGTGGCTGTGTTTGGATTGGAAAGAGGCCTCTTCGATTCGCAGGATGTCCAAACCAGAATCAATAGCACTCAGCTGTTAATGACCTTTATGGAGGCTCAGATGAGGCAGTGGAGTTAAAACAGCCCCACAGATTTGCATAGAGATGACCTTTAACGCTTGCAGTGTTAGGGAACACGTTGATGTGCTGCTGAATCAGTGGCAGACCACCTTCAATTAAACATCACAGCAAAATATAACAATTTCACATGTAAAAAAAGGTGTTTTTTCTTTGAACTTGTGCTGCAGAGTTCATCTCTGGGAATGACAAACAAGAGCTGCATGCCTGTGCTCAACACCAGAACTGATCCTTTTTAAGTTGCCACCCAGTTTCAGCTGTGACCGAGCACTGCAGAAACAAGACGACAGTTAACAATGACACTGTTATTCCCTCTTTCCATCCCATTCAACAGCCACTCCCCCCTCTGCCCACTTATCCCTCACATCCCTCTCCTCATCACCAACCCAGTCCCAGACATTCCTGCCTGCTCTTCCTCTATCAGCCTTTGTCCTCTGTACTGACCTCTCTTTTCCGCAATGTGGCTTTAGATCCCAGCGAAAGGGGGCTGCCGTCCCTGGATGCCCGTGAGTCTGCACAGTTCCTGCTGCACGGCAGCCCTCCCTCCCCCATCAGATGCCTTTTTATAGCTCAGCTGAGCCTGCTCAGCCTGCGCTGCATTCTGGGTAGGAGGAAGAACTGACGAGGAGAGGAAGGGAGGGTGAGGAGAACACAGTGGATGAGTGGGATTGGAGGCAGTGGGAGAGGAGGGGGGGACTGAGGCACTTGAGCATTTTGTGGTTTATTTATCTTTGCTTGCTTTTCCAGTTTTTATGAAAAGCAGGTTTGTGTTACAGGAACAAACTGAAGAGTATGTTTGTGAGGAAGTCTGGTTCAAAGTGGGAAGCTCGATTAATTTAAATATGGCAGATATGTAGCACGGTGGCGCAACTGGTAGAGCTGCTGCCTCTCAGTGAGCAGGTCCTTGGTTCAAACCCCGGTCCAGGGGCCTTTCTGGGTGGAGTTTGCATGTTCTCTCCGTGCATGCGTGGGTTTTCTCCAGGTACTCCGGTTTCCTCCCACAGACCAAAAACATGCATGTTAGGCTGATTGGCAACTCTAAATTGTCCCTAGGTGTGAGTGAGAGCGTGAATGGTTGTTTGTCTCGTTTGTCTCTATGTGGCCCTGTGATGGACTTGCGACCAGTCCAGGGTGTACCCCGCCCTTCGCACAGTGATTGCTGGACATGGGCACCGGCGACCCCCGTGACCCAAAAATGGAATAAGCGGGTAAAGATAATGGATGGATGGCAGATATATTAATACTTTAAATTACTGTACCACATGTCAAACTCAATTCAATTCAAATACTTTTATTTATTCCCAAAGAGAAATAAAATGTTGTAGCCGTTATCCTCGTTTCATTAAGAGATGTTATCGATGCTGATGGCTGTAGACAGGAAGGATCTCTTATAAAAGTCAGTCCCACAGCAGATCCGAAGAAACTGGCAACAGATGCCATCCATTTCGTCCACTCAGACTATCCAGTTCCTTTGGGCAGCGACCCCCTGAATGCTGGGCAGAACTCCTTCCAGAGCCATCTCAAGAAGCAGAGGCCACTCCTCCCAGCAACCTGCCGAGCTCCTTGTCACAGCGAACAGTCAGCTGCAGGTGTTGGGGGGGCAATCCTGTCCTTCTGCTGTCACGAGCCGTGTTTCCTGCCAGCTCTAGGATGTCAGCGGTTAGGCACTCAAGCACAGCCGACAAGGAGACGGGAATGCATCTACGGCACCTCCTTTTCAAATCATTTGAGAATTGGGTTCTGTAGTTGAGATGTTATTTGAGCTTTTGAGGTGTTGATCATCTGCTTCCGGTTGTAAAAAAAACACCTTGTTGTTATGGTTATGCATCATAACAAATGTCCAAAACTAAAATAGTTTCAGTAAAAATCCTTCCAGCTGCACAGCATCCGATACCAGAGGAAACGATCATCACAGAAAATGTGATTTACATCCAGAAAAAGAGGAATTAAATTTTCCTAAAGCAAAATCTCAGAATGAAAGTAAAAGAGATGCTCCAACAAGCAGCCACCCCGTGCGGTGCAATTCTAGAACAAGAGCCGCGAGCCAAATCTGGCTCCCCAAGATGACAATTTAAATGTAAAATATTGTCTCTCTTCTAATTAAAAAAAACAAAAAAAAACCTGATAAATGCATCATTTGGACTTCTCTTGCCAGCTGGTTAACTTTGAAGCCAAAAAGAAGGTTTGGTCGTTCTGACATTATTGATTCTGATGTAGAAAGAGCAACAGAGCATCAAGTGAGACAGATCACACTCTTGTTTCTTGTAGTGCAAAGCACGTTTGAGTATTTTGATAAGATAGAAAAGTGATATACATATATTGTCATTTGCATAATGTGTGGTACATAAAGTGGAACAAAACTGTGTACTCAAGGTCCCAGTTACACCCAAAAATAGCAAAAATATTAAGTATAAAAAGAAACAGTATATAAGGATTTAAGATATACTGATACACTAAGATATACGCTAAACATTAATAATGTAAAATACGGTATATTAAACAGCAGCCCGAACATGAGTCTGTAGTGAGTAAATGGATATGAATGAATACAGCAGCATGAGATAATCAGCAGCACAGATAGGTCACGTACCACAAATTAAAGTGGCATTACAGTGTTTTTTTTTAATCTTATTGATGAACCTGCAATCAAGAAATGATCTCAGGCATCTGACTCGAGTTAATGCTTCAGCTGAAAGTGGCTCGGACAAAGTTTGTAAATTTTGATCCTTTTGGTAACCAAGTTCGACACCTGTAAACAGTACAGCTGTAATACCGCAAGTCTACTTCTGATATGTATATTTGCCCAGTTGCTCCGAGACCAATATCCATGTGTTTTACTGAACACTTCACATTTCTTCTTAATCTTTATTACACAACTGTAGCTGGAGTTGGCCAAGTCTAGTTAGCTCTTTGTGCTTTATTCCACCCAAGATTACAGCTTGGGAAATCCACTCTGATTCAATGAACTGTGTAGAAATCACATCAGGAAATATTTTTCTAAACGCCAAATGTGTGGGTATTCATGTCCTGATGCTGCTCAGGTAGATAAATCTAACAAGGTTGAGTCAGGTCCTCTGGACGGATTCTTCCTTGTTGAAATGTTTCGTCTTTTATCCAAAAGACTCCTTCAGTCCGGAGGACCCGACTCAACCTTGTTAGGTGTGGATATTTATGCGTCAAGTAGTGCTTCTTTTTCTGCTTGTAAAAGAAAGTGGTTTGTGCCGAAACGTTGAACAAATAACCCCCATTCAAATCGACATCTGAAACGTTTTATTAAAAGCATGAGGCGACATATTCGTGTTCTCAGAAGGAACAAAATTACAAAATATATTTAGATGTACAATTTATGGCAAATGAAGCATTCCAGATACTTTCTATGAAAGTTAAATTACAAAAAAAAAAGTAATATATTAACTGCAGCTCCCAATGTATCCGTTACTAAAAGAGATGAATAAAGTATTACAACATGATCCAGCTTGGTTCATCATTTAATGCTATAAACTTTGATAAAGATATGAGGTATGCACTGCTTTTGAATAAAAATCAAGCCTCAAAGTCAAAAATTAGTACCATTAAAGAGATGCTCTGTAGGCCATCTTGTTCAGACTCGTTTTATCAGGAGTTCGTACCATAATTCCTTATTTTAAACAACCAACCAAACATGAAAGCACATTCTGCTTTTATTAAACGTGTACTTTGAACTTTGTAAAATGATGCTTGTATGGCAGATTAACAAAACTAAAATTATTCTGAACTGTCATACTTAGGATGTGATGTCATGTAATTTCAGATTGAAGAGTGCATTTTAGTCCCAACAGATTCTGTAATTCAGATGTAATAAAAGGTTTTGACACAAAATGACAAGTCTGTACTATCGATGTACTCTAAAGATTTTGTATTGTCTTAAAACAAGGCTCAACAATAAAACTTCTTGTTTAAATGCTCTGGTAACTGAAAATATTTGCTGTAAACTAGGGATGCACGATATTGGATTTTTGGTCGATGTCTGATATGCCGATGTATTAAAACTTATTTGGCCAATAACCGATACAATAACAATTTTTTTCCCCTAAACCTACTTACAGAGACTACATATCTTTCTCTGCTGTAGAATTAAAACACACAATGACAACACTGGAACAGTACAAATTTGTAAATTTTCACAAATTTAAACTCAACGTCACACGTGACGTCATAACGTTGTGCTTGTCGCTAGGTTGTCATACAGCACCTTTTGTATAAATATTTACAAGAAAAATTATATATATATATATATATACATACACACACACACACATATACATTTTATTTATTTATTTTTTAAATATATCGGTGAGTAAGTTTGATGGAATGGCTGACGTCCGATATTTAACTTTATCGCTAATATCGGCCAATACCGATACCATGCCGATATCGTGCATCCCTACTGTAAACTGTAGTTCACTGACCGAAGTACAGAAAATAAGGGGAATATGATAAAAAAAAATAAACTAAATAAAGATTAGGAAACATTTAAAAGGAAACATTAAATCAAGCTTAATTTAACAAACCTGTATTTTTTTTTTAATAAGCTGATGGTATAATTTGCTCAGTAACCTTGGTTACTGCATATTTTGTAAAGAGGGACACTCATTGCATACAAGTTAAAAAGATGGTTTTGTCCATATTTTTAACAAACATTTTACTTTTTCGAAGCTGAAAATAAAAAATAAAGTTAATTACTGAAAAAAATTGTGATCCAAGTATTTTAACTCAAAAGCCAATACTAATACTGTTACTGCACAAATAACACTTGTTTCAACGGAAAAAGCAGCATTACTCAAATAAATTTTGAAATAAATTTGTCTAATATTAACAATATAATTCCCATTTATATAAAACGTCAGTGCACACCTGTCAACACTGTTTCTCTACATAAACTTTTGTGACGTTCACAGTTCACACTGCAGGTCTCCACATTAGTTGTCCATATCAAACTGTACGTCCACTGTGTTCTACAAAAACACGTCTGACAGTGGGGAATACAATCATGGGTCTGAAAATATTCAGATTAAGGCATCAGATTTAGTATATACATTGTACTATAGCTTTTTTTATTTTACCCCCAAACTGTTTTTTGTTGCCCACCCCCATCAAGCCTCTGTTTTGCATGTTTTATTATATTTGCATGTAATTAATACATCAAGCAACATTAAATGGAGCACCACCTATTGCACATGGAATTTGTCTTCTTAATAATGTTCTGGTTAGTTCACTCTTCAGTGCGGCCTTTACATGTCGGCTCATCATCCTTTCACTTTCTCTGGTCTTACTTTCTTTGACACGAAGTTGTGTGGCATTATTCACCCAATTCTAGCTTGGAAAGCCACCGGGTGGCTCTGGGTCAGGAGACGGAGGGTTGTCCTGGTCGTCTTCGGGCAACTGGACTCGCTGCTCGTCCATGCGCTTGGCCTGCACCCTCTGGATTAGACTGAAGAAGTCTTCATCTGGCACTGTAGGGGCATGAGGGCCTGCTTCTGGTGGGGAACACCGCTGATCATCGATCCTGGAGGACTGGAGCCAGGAAGACGGACACAGTTAAATAGAAGTCAACAGATTAGGAGTTTACCATGGCTAATGGTTAATAAAAACAGATGGAAGCAAACTATTTGGTTAACCCCAATTCTAATAATTTCTTCTGATCTGCTGAAATGTTATGACAATCCTACTGTTTTTTATGTACAGAAATAACTGTTTAACATTGATATACAATATATTATTAAGTTTTGAGAAGGATATAACGGTGAATAAAGAAATTTGGGCCAACACTTACAGTAAGGTAAATGAAGGCCACTAGTAAGGACTTGGTTCAGACTAACAGACTAAATGCATTTATTCGGTAAACAAAATAACATAACTGACTTATTTTACAGGAACAAAACACTGATTACATACAATTATATGTCTGACAAAGAGTGCAAGATATACGTCAAAAAACCTTATTAATCACAGGTTGGCAAACAACTAGCTTAGATGCCAACATGATACTGAAAACACAAAGCTAACGCATCATGTTTATCACTAAAAATGTATACACAAGTGAAACATTTCAAAAGCCCTTCTACAGACAGTCATGTTAAAATAACTTCATCCGTTACTTGGAGACATAATCTTTGAGGTTCAACGAAGAAAAGATGAGAAATTTGTGAAAACACTGCTGCATGTTTCAACTCCAGCAGCTACAGCAAATCTAGTGTCACTTGGTATTACACATCAACTACGCTGCTGATTTTCCTAAAGACGCAGCAGATTAATGTTATTAAAATCGATTTTGACATTTTAAAATGGACTCAGAATAGCCCATGTCTGCAATTCATCTAAAATAGATTATAAACTCCACCACAAGCTCCCATTAGGTGTTGTGCCAAGAAAAGCTCCCCTGGAATAAAAGGCACCTTTGAAGCAGAAATCGACACAAAACTGTGCCGCCCACAGTTGTGACTTTTTAGTTAGCATGCTCAGGTGTGGCCAATGACATTTTGGAAAAAAAGCAAAAATCAGTTTAATTAATCAATTAGTGTACTTTTTTAAGTAAAATGTTTAATTAAACAAATATGATAAGATGAACAGGATCTTTTCATGTTTGCCTAACATTTGATATAAAATACACACATTCAGTTGGTGTGCTGATTAAAACCCTGAGTTTGCCTCATATCCTCACCTGACACTTTATAAGCATGTTGAAGAAGTCATCACTGGGTTCTTGATGATCTCCTTCACCAACGAGATGCCCTAGGTTGTTATGTGTGATCCGAAGGCCTGGAAGGTTTCCAACGCTTACACGCTGATCGTCAAGACGACGACTCTGAGAGCTAGCGATCAAATCAAAGAGCTCCTCGGTCTGGGGGGAAGTAGTAATTGCAGGATCTAAAAAGACAAAAGTGAAAAGTCCTAAGTGACAACGATGGGGTTTCTCTGGTGAAGAACGGTTAGGAAGAACTTGTGATGTAAACAAAACTGATACTAATTGATCAAACAACCTATCATCTCATTCAGGGTTGGCGTGTTCGCAGTTCCCTCTCCGTTGTCTCCGTTCTGTGGATCATCAAGATGGCAGCGCTGGTCATCCATGCGGCTGCTCTGGAACTTGCTAAGGAGGTCAAAGAAGCAGTCCTCATCAGAGGGGTCACGGCCCAGCTTCTGAAACAGAAAAATTCAAACTTGTTCAACATAGTTTTTATTGTCTCTTGTGATCCTGTCAATTGTTTTCTTTTAATGCTGGAATGAAGACCTCCCTTTTAATGATTAATTATTCTTTGGGAGAAAACTACTTTTTACAATTATTTTCTTGTATAATAGTTATTGTTCTAGTCTAAAAGGATAAGACATGATGCAGATTCATTTCCTGGATAACCTGACTGCTTCGTTCCAGAAGCCTGCTCTACAGGTGAAATAATTAACCTAAATGTACATATGAGCTGTATAAGAAAGATTTTCAGGACAGCCATCATCTGATTAACACACAAGGGATGGCTATCTTGAGAATACCTTAGCTTAGATGGAAGGTGATATACTTATCTTGAACAAGATTATTAACGAAAATGGTAACTTAGATGAAACTATAAAGAGCTATAACTGGAATTGTGACTGGTTCTTAATAGGTTTCCACTGACTGACTGAATGTTGTTTAAGTTGCTTTGACCTCTCTGCTAATCAGTTTGACATTTTTTTTTTTTCGTCAAGAAGCAGCAAGCAATTTTTTTTTTCTTTTTCACTCATCTTTTGCAATAACAAAAGCTACATGTATCAAAAATCTAGCTGCTGATAAAAACAAAATAAAATTTGAACTTGTGAATCAATTTGCCAGTCTTTGAGATGAAAACTAAAACATGTATTTAAACAAATAGCATTTACACTTAAACACTACTGAATTGCTTGTATATGAATGCACATATACAAATAATTTGCAAGTTAATTAAGCACTACTTTTCTTTGGGCGGCTGTGGCTGAGTGGTTAGGGCTGTCGTCCTCCAATGCAAGAGTTGGGGGTTCGATTCCACCAGCAGTCACATGCCAAAGTGTCCTTGGGAAAGCCACTGAACCCCTCATTGCCTCTAATGCGTGTCCCATCAGTGTAAGAATGTGATAAAGCTCTGATTATTCTTATTAGAGATCTTGTAGAGTGCTGTATGAATGAGTAAATGAGGCACAGATTGTGTTGTAAAGCACTTTGAGTGTCTTGATAAGATAGAAAGGTGCTATACAAGTACAGTTCATTTACTATTTACGGTCGTGATAAATTTAACTTAATGTTGAATCTCTTAGCTTTGATCAAAACTACTCAAGAGAAAATAAAGTACTGGAAATGTCAGTTAAACTGTTTAATTTTATAACGAATATGTTTCACGAAACATGTACCCTTGTTTAAAAAAATGTTGGAACATGAAGCATTAATTCAATTACTGCAAGTATTAATAATAAAAATTAAACAGGATTTGCAGTAGTACTTGACTGCAACACCAGGTGGAGTCTTACTGTTTAATGGAGCAAAGTTATAAACGTGTTAGCCAGTCATGGACACATAAACTGCAGAATAAACACCAGTCCCTGCAGCCCAGGAGAGAGCAAATATCCAGCTTGTGTCTGCGTCATGGTCAAAGCTGTGCTGTTGAATTCTGCAGCTCAGAGCGATGAAAATTCTCTGGTGGTTGACAGGGTTAGGTAGGGTACAGGGAGGTCCTCATGCCAGATAAAATGTTTCAGGCAGCTAACCCTGAGAGCTCAGATCTGACAGCAGAGAGCAGCTGTAGCCACCAACTCTGCTGGCAACCTGCAGGACAGAAATGATCTGCTCCCAATGTCATTTCAACTGAAAACATTAGGCACCACTGTAGAAGTGGAATAAAACATTTATATATATGAACTAAAAATGTAGTTAAATCGATATAAAGAAACTGTTTGCAACAGCTGCAGTAAACAACAGTCATTGTTTAATGCAGAGAAGAAAATACTTTATCAAAAACTTAGTTAAATTTTGATTTTGTGGGAAAACCATTGATGTAATCTTGTTTAGTAATTACTTTTTAGTAGTTAAATATGAATTTTATGAGCATGTGTTGATTTTAGAACAGTTATTGTTCCCATAAGTGTACTAAAATATAAAAGCAGTATAGTATAAATTATTATAAACTAATATTTTAGTAGATGGGGCTGTTTGTAGTTTCATTATATTTTTGTTCAATTAATTTAAAAGGAGGTTAATAAAGGAACAAGATAAACGGAGCAACAAAAACCAAAGCCGGCTCTCTATGTAACACTAATTAAAATGATACACTTGTGCCATATCTAAACAAATCAAAGTACTTGTAAATTTTTACTAAAGCAACTATTTCAGTGTACCACCAAGACACATTAAGATCTAAAAATCAGATTAAGATGATAAAAAGTTATAAAAAATAAATTTTGAGCTAGCTGTGAAGCAGGTCAGCAGACACCAGATTTCAACCAGTTATTCATTTGAGAAATTCTATAAGTAAATGCAAAAAAGAAGATTTTGACACATTCTTTATGGACACCTAGAAAACAAGACTAAAACGTATGTACAGACTGTAAAACTCACCTAACATGCTGAAATATTTACATAGAAACCAAACCGGATCAGTAAATAAACACAGAATCCTTTGCACGGTCTCGTTATTTAAGCTGAAAAGCCAAAGTAAAACCTCTTACCAGGAACGATAATTCTTTGTCTTTTATCTCATTCCTCCCTGAGCATCACATGCTTGGATCACACGTCTTTCTGCTCTGCTTTCACCACCACTCGTTCTCTCTCTCTCTTTACTTTCCTGCTCTAGATGACCCACCACACTAATTTCCTCGCCTCTAGTGTCCCTCTCTTTCAGGCCTCTTTAAAACTACATACTAGCTCTCCGTCCCTCTATCACTCTCTTTCTGAAGCTCTCCGGCAGGCCATTTCTGTCCTGTTCACCCACTGTGGGAAAACAACTCATTATGGGAAGCTGGGCGTTTGACCCAGTGGGGAGGGTACCAGTTCTGTGATCAAGGTCACATTATCTGCTGAGAGGCTCAGCTAAAGGGAGGAGGGAGATGGAGCATAGAAATATGGGTGCAGGGGTTAGTTAAGAGAACACTGCTTGCCAACAGCTAGCAAAGTTTAACTATGTTCAGAAACTAATCATTCTTGCACTGTAAAAAGGATAATCAGGTGTGAGTAAGCAAATTTTGTCCAGTGTCCTTGGCATCATGGTCCTCCTGTGAATTTAGTCACTCCTACCTTTGTAATGTTTAAGTAATCAAGTGGGCCAAAGCGGCAGAACAAGAAAGAAAAGATGAAAAAATTAGGAGAGAAAAGAAAAGGGGGCAAAGCAGGAAATATTTGCAAAAAACAAATGTAAATACCATATTTTCTGCTGTAAACAATGCTCCGTCCTATAAGTCGCATCAGTCCAAATATGTCTAATAAAGTGGAAAAATCCATAAATATGTCGCTTCGCCGTAGACGTCACATCTATTATGCGTCACCGTTGAGTGACAACCCGGAAATGTGGGCCGGTGTTGTGCCAAAAACTGTTGGGCGGCCGTGGGAGCATGCACAGAAGGACTTTAACAAGAATTTAACAAGATTAACACTTGAAAAAACCAGCTGCATTTTCAAAAGCCGATACGCGGAAACATGAACGCGCAAAGGGTGACTTGCTCTTCATTTCTTCGAAATTTAACAAGAGAACCACCTAAAAACAATTATTTGTTTGCTTGAAATTATAGCAAAGGTGTGTCTCAGTTGAACTTTTACTTAATAAATACAATTCAATGGTCAAATTAGCTGCATTTCGCCAGGCGGCACAGCAAAATGAAGTTGATTTGACATTTCCTCCGTGCAGACGATGATGGCAGTAACCTATTACATATACAACGACATGCCATACAGCAGCTGAAAAAGGTAGTGGTCAATATTTTCAGTCAGAATGAATGAAAACAGTCATATCTCAGCCAAAAATTGGTTATATATAAATATGGGGGAAAAAATCCATAAATACGTCGCTTCGGCGTATAAGTTGCAGGGCATGCAAATTATGCATAAAAACTGTGACTTATAGGCTGAAAAATATGGTAAATGCAAAAACAAGATAAAAGAGTATACTCCTATTTTCCTGCAGTGTTTCCTACAGTCATGGTCAAAGAGCCCCTCATCCTTCACCTGATCCTCCCACATCTGTTAAAGACAGAGCTTCTTAATAAAGAAAACTCTACAAATATCCTGATGCATGCTCAATAATCCAGGTAGAAAAATCTAAAAAAGTTAAATCTGGTCCTCTGGACATTCAAAACTTAACTTTTTTAGAAAACTCTACAAAGTTTATCCCAAGGCCATACCGTGCAATGACCAGCTCTTTACCCTCATCTGAGTCCTCAAAGGGAGATGGGCGTTAGCCCAACCAGTCCACATGTTTTGTTGACATGGAGAAGGCTTTCAACCGTGTTCCCCATGGTGCTCCATAAGCATGGGATTGGAAGACATTTGCTACAGACCAGTCAGTTCCTATACAAAAGGTGTGAGTCTGGTTCACAATGTCAGCAGTATCAGACTCCTTCAGAGTGGGAGTGGAACTTCACCAGGACCACCCGTCGTCACAGATTCTGTTCATAACTTTTATGGACAGAATTTCCTACAACAATTATATTTATGTGCTTATACATTTAAAATAATGTATAAGCATGTAAAGAAAATGTGGTTTTAAAAGTAAAAATGTAGCAATGCTACTCACCGACACTGGAGGAGGGACTTGAACAGTGATGTCATCAGTGTCTACGGGAGAATCCAACCAGGGTCTTTCGTCCGACGTCTGACTGTCAGAATAGCCTTTTCTTTTACCAGCTTGTGAGAGCTGACTCTTAGATCTTCTTGGTATACTTTCCAAGTCTTGGTTGTCCCCATTCTGTAGAAATACAATACTTTGTGAAAAAGACACTAGTAAGAGAAACCAGAGAAAAAGCAAACAATTATTTTTTCAAGCAGAATTCCTTCACCTTATCTGAAGAGTACTTCCATAGCTCTACACTGTCCATGCTGTTTCTCTTGGTAATTTTGGGTCTTGCTCCTTCAGGAAAAAAGTAAATAAACACATCACATAACAGCACATGTCGTATGTCACCTTGCGAAAGCAACACATTGAATTTGTTTTAAAAACCATTTTAAAAGGTTGCAACATGCCAGTAATTAGATTTAGCTTGTAATTTCAGTGGTGGTCTAATGATGGTCAAACAGGGGTATGAAGCAGACAACAAGGAAAATAAACTGATTAAAGCACCTGTATGTGAGCTCTGATTCAAAGACTTTAACCTCACTTGATTTAGTTTGATCAAATTTAGCATCAGGTCAGACATAACAGACACCGTCTTGCCTAAATTTAGTCTTACATTTTTTTATGGTCACTTTGTGTGCATCTATGTAATATTTTGGTTAGCTTGGTCAAATCCACAAGTACAGTTTGTCAAACATAGACATTAAAAATATTATATATGGTACTTTGATGGGATCAGCAAACTCCTGTTCATCACAAAAACAATGTTTCATCTTGAGTTCTAACCTGCATCTTATTATTTATATTGGTTAGCCTGAAACCTTTTATGATAATTGTTGTTTGCTTCCATTTTTATTTTAAAAAGCCAGCTTGTTTTAACTGCTGACAGGCATGTCCCTATTTTTAATAAACTTTCAGACATAAACGAACAAGGAAGCAAACAGTTTTTTTTTGGTCTACATTTGCCTATTCTGTTCCAACTTATACATAACACATAAGGAATTGAAAAGCGTGAGGTAAAGAAATATTTTACAGAAACAATGTTCATGTGCAAAGGGTGATCACTTATTTCTACACATTTTAAAATGAGAATGTGCCTGACAAGATCTGCATTGTTATAACATACATTTAAAATGGGCAATAAACAGTTATTAAAATAAATAAAGAAAACGTATTTTGTGAATTAAAATGGTAACTAGACCTCCTATTCTAAGCATAATCAACCTAAACAATCTTTTTTAATGTTTAAAGCTATTTCCATGTCCTTGCATTTGTGTTAAATGCTGCTTCTTTTATTTAAAAAAAAAACAAGACAAAACTTTAATAATCTTGTTCCAAAACACAAAGTCAACATATTAAATGCTAAAGTTGGCAAACTGGACTACTTTTTTTCTTGTGTAACAGCTGCCAGTTTTATTTTATTTTTTACTTTCCTTTTTAATAAAACTTATATTTTAGGTTTGTTTAGGTTACCGTATATTATGAACTATCGTTTAATGTTAAACAAAGATGGCAGAAACCGTAAAACAGCTCATTTGAAAAAAAATAATAATAATTTGACATGTTCAGAGAGTCATAAAAAAAATAAAATTATATACAAATTGTATTTGGGAGGAAAAATGGGTTTGGGCCATTTTGCCTGGAGTGTGAACGCAGCCCGTCAATTTGTCTTCTGCTTCCATCAAACACCTGGTGCTAATTTGTTAATCAGTACATCTGCCTTTAGTTCTTTACTTCCTCTGTAAAAAAAGTAAAAAAAAAAAATAATACAGCCTTGATTAAATGTTCACTGCCAGACCCTCTCTTTGGTCACCCTAGTAGTGTTTGTTTAAAAACTAATTTAACTACCGGTAAACTAAAAATAATTGTATTTTAATATGGAAATGATATTTGTGTACAATAAATTACTAGAAAAAAAAAAAACCTAAAAACCAACTAAAGTTTTAAATGGAGTCAATTTTTCAGTTTTTGGTTGTGGACTCAAATGGCCTCTAGCCTACGATTCAAGTTTCCCTTAAAACAGTGAGTTTGAAACTTGGAAACGAGTGCCTGCGATCAAAATAATCAAACTTAAGGAGCTACCTTGCATCTCAAACTCTGAACTGGAGGGTGAAAGATCGCTCTCATTGACTCCCAGAGCCTCCATCAGCTGCTCCACATTCATTCTGGCTGTCAGCTCCCCATTTCTGTCTCCTATCTAGGTTTAAAAGAAAGAAGCGGGTACAGAGATCCACACAATCAGGACCACGTGTCAGAGGACTCACTCCTAAAAAATAAAATCTTCTACTATTATTTAATTAAATTTCTCAGCTTAATAAAATAGCTCACTTCTCTAGAGATGTCCAAGTGCTTTCGGGCATAGTGGAGAGCCTGTTTGTGGTTCCCTAAAGACACGTATGCATTTCCCAGACTCCAGCAGGCACGGCCCTCACCCACCCTATTGAGAAATCGACATACAAACGTTAAAAAAAAAAAAAAAAAAATGCAACTGAAAATGAAAAAGAAACCTTTAACTCCATTTACATGTCTATATGCTGTACTTTTTTACAGATAAATCATAATTAAAATACCTAAACACTTTGACGAAGTTTTCTGTATAGAACCATTAGAAAGGCAAAAAATTCTGTTGCAACCACTTTATTTTTTGCATGTGTTTCCTCTATATTCCACCATTAATGCTTGGAGTTTCCCATCAACTATCTAGTTTAAATCCGCTGCTGTTCTCATTATCTATAGTTTATTCATGCTCACTCTACCTGTCATTGAGCTGTTGGGCTATACACAGGTGTTTCAGGTGGTAGTCTATAGCCCTCTCGTACTGCTGCAGCAAAGTGTAGGTGTTTCCCAGGCTGTAACAAGCCTGAGCCTCCATCACCTGATCCCTCAGTTGCCTGGACAGTTGTAGAGTTTTCCTACGAGACAGAAACAAAGAAATTACCAAGAACCAATAGGAATGTGTGGAAGAACAACAAATGACAGATGGATTTTTTTATTTTTTTCATTTTATGAGGTTGTGATCGTCTCTCCACTAAATGTCAGACTGCACTCTCTCCTCACCTGTAGTACTCTGTGGCTGCGTTGAACTGTCCCAGAAATATCAAGGCATTACCGAGGTTACTGTAGGCTCGCCTTTCAGCTGCTTTGTCTCCAAATTCTTTCGCAATGGATAATCGCTGTAAACGACACAGCAGTGAGATCAAACACAATAAAATAGCATTTTCATTCTGTGCGAGTTTATAAAAATGATAAAAATTCTAATATTAAAGTTAATTTTTTCTTCATTTTGTAGCATTTTTTACTTAGTGCACAAACAAAGACAGTTATTGAAGATTCAAGCTCTGCTGGATGCCACATTTTCTGCTCAGAGGTGCATCTGCAGCACTGATGCATCAAATCGCTCCGTCTGATTCTCTCTATAAGCAGTGTGTTCCCCTCTGAGGCACACTGATAGATTTGTAATGGGAAAGAGAGGACAGACTGGTTTCTTGCACAAGGAAAGAAGTGGTTTGAAATAGAGAGTGACAGGAAAACACAGGAAGAGACCGCCTTAAGCTATATTTTTCAATGAATCACCAAGAAACCAATTTCCTCCTCCTTGTTTTGTAATGGAACAACCTCTGCAAGCTGAGCTACTACAGCACGAGATGCACTGAAAAATAAATCTAGATGTATGTTTCTCAGATTAGGCAACAACACTGCCAATCTAATTAGGACTTTTTTATTCAAATGGTTTTAAATCAGACTAAACAAAACTGCATATATTATGACTGAAGAAAGACTTACTCAAATGAGAGTCAGTCTTCTCCCCTCTTGAGCAAATGGGTTGTTTTGCATGTAAAATTTTAGCCAGAGACATCTGAAGTAGTCAAATGTGGTTTTCTCTCAGCAAGACATAAACATGATGCTTGGTTGTTTTTTTTTGTTGTTTTTTTTCCTCATTTATTTATTTAAACAAATACTAAAATTGCAGGCTCAAGCTATTAAAAACACAAAATATAATATGAAATAATGTAATAGTGACAAAACAGCCTTGAAATACATTTTCAGTTAAAATGCAGAGCTACAAAACCAAAAGCAATAAACATGATAATCTGCTTGGGTTTGTGTTGTCACAAAAATCTGTGAAATTGGAAAATGATTCATTTTGAATATATTTACTTCTTTTCTCTGTTGAAAGAACAAAAAGTCCCTGAACAACTTCAGAATGATTTAACTGATGAATAATTGATGACGTTAACTCATCTCTGCACCACAGTGACACAAATATGATGACGTATCCTGATGCATGCTCAATAATCCAGGTAGAAAAATCCAAAAAAGTTCAATCTGGTCCTCTGGACATTAAATAAATAAAATAAAAAATGTAGAAACATTTCGTCTCTCATCCGAGAGACTTCCTCAGTCTGAGGTGCTGTTTTCAGCTCAGTCTCTTAAATAGCACATTCTCAAGAGTGGATCAACCAGTTTGCTGCTGACAACCAAAACCAGCTGCTCATATGGTCAAGAAGGACCATCAGCCTAACAATGGATCATTAGCACACTGATGGCTGAGCAGCAGGACCACGCTTTCCACAGAACAACTGTGTCAACTCTTGAAACTGTGCCTGCAGTCAACCTACTTCACATATGAGGAGCAATATTATAGGCAGAAACATGGGTGTGCTATGGGGTCTCCAGTTTCTCCTATTGTTGCCAACCTGTACATGGAGGAGGTAGAAAAGAGAGCCTTGACGTCCTTTTCAGGGACACCACCAAGTCATTGGTTCAGGTAAGTTGACGACACCTGGGTTAAAATTAAATCTCAGGAAGTCCAACATTTTACTGACCACATCAACTCTGTGGATAAATACATCAAGTTCACACGAGAAGATGTAAAAAATGACAAGTTGGCTTTCTTGGACTGTGAGGTCTCAGTCTCTGATAGAGGACATTTGCAAACCGAGGTGTACCGCAAACCCACACACACAGACCAGTATTTGCAGTTTGACTCCCATCACCCTTTGGAGCACTTTGGAGCAGATTGAACTTTTTTGGAAATATGATGACGGTTAAAGTAAAACTTTGAGTTTGTTTACCTGACGGTGAAACTTGATTGCTTCAACAAAGTTACCCAGCAGGTAGTGGGTGTTGCCAAGATTCCCATAGGCCCTCCCCTGAGCAGCTCGGTCACTAAGCTCTTTGACCAAACACAAGTTCATCCTGCAGAAGATGAGAACAAACAAGAGCAGCACACATTATATTCAACGCCTAAGTAAAACAAAGTTGTTTACCTGTTTTTTTTTGTCTTTATATTCAGTTCCAAAAAACAGCAATTACACTATCTTTTAACACTGAAATTATAATATTTATTTATATTTATGGCAAAAACATACCATTACCTATCATTATACATTTGATTTATTTTTTGTACGTTATCTGGGGGCCCTCAGTTAATGTTTCATTATACACAGTGACCAAAACTTTAAGAACCACTGCTTTAATGGGATCAAAATCAAAGTTGTGGAAACACTGAAGCAAGCAGGTACAATAGCTTGAACATGTGATGAATGGACCTGTATCACCACAGAATCCGGTCACTGTACTCAGCATTTTGAATCTTTGTTTTATTTAGGTAGTTTACATAGTCGTGTTTGAATTAAAGCTCTTAACACAATAGTGATAAATAGAATAAATATTGACACAATTTGTTGCCGCTATAATTAGGCCTGTCACAATAACAAATTTTGCTGGGCGATTAATCGTCTCAGAAATTGTTGCGATAAACGATAATATTGTTTGAAATTTGACAATAATTAGTAATTATTGTCAAATTTAAGAAGAAATGTTGGTAATTTGTTTTGAGTGTAGTATCTTTTTTGACCACTCGATATACAGTATAAAACTGTTTGACTCAAAGGATGGATAGTGAGGGAGCCAGCGTGTCTCTAAGAATATTGGAGGGAGGCCCCTTGACATCACCTGGACTGTCTCTCCTTCCTGTTTTTCAGTTCTGAAAATGGTGGACGCTCGGTGTGGTTTGAGCTCTTTAGCATAGCATTTTTCACACAAACCTTTAAATTTAAAAAAAATCAGTAAACAAGTTCTCAGCTGTTTTTTGCAGAAAGAAACTACTTTTTACACAAAGGCATGGGTTTTAACTGTGAAATTTGGAGCTTCGACATGACAGTTTTTTTTTTCCCCCGAGGTCGGCCTGTTAGCTTAGCTTTTCAGCTTAGCTGCTTTTAACAATCCAAAAACGCAATTTTGAATGGTTAAAACAGATTTTAAAGTGAAAAGAGAAAAGGAGGGGTCAGAGAACAGCACCGAAGTAGAGTCTTTTTGTCATCCTGTGTCTTGAGTAGAAAGAGAGAGACACGAAGAAACGATAAAGCCGATAAATGAAAATTATTGACCTAATTTTTATTAATAATGCGCTTAATTGATTTATTGTTTATTGCGACAGGCATATCTGTAACAATTTTATAAATCACTGCAGCCCTCTAAACTGTAATCAATTTGAAATGTGAGGAGTCGATAAATTCCCCTTTAAAATTGACAAAGATTTTTTTGTTAATTGTGATGACGTTTTCAAAAGAAGCCCATACAAACTGGCCACTGGAAGGAGCAAGACAAAGGATCAGACTTTTGTTTGTCATTATGTTTGTATTATCGAAAAATATATATCAGAACTACAAACAAATCATATTATTTCTAATTTATTGAAGAAAATATAGCATACCTTTATCTAAAATCAGCTGAACCTAAACTTTTTTGCAGTTTTTTGTGCATTTTATGCATTTTTTTACATTTGCTTTTGGTTTAGTTTTACACAACAGACTATAACGAGATGTTTTCATTATCATTTTACCCAGCATTCATCTGTGCACGTTTATAAATTTGTCGAATGTGTTAAATGCACTGCTCAGGACACGTACTCGTAAAAGTCCGTAGCTTTCTGCAGTGTGTCTCTAACATCAGCTGGCAGGTCTCCTGGTTCCTGGGGGCAGCTCCACAGCTGCTGCTTGCCCTTTGCATGAAACACGTTCCCAATGTTATACAGCGCTCTGGCTTCTCCAACCTACAGCATTACAGCAAGGGAAGACTGGTTTCATTGCAGAAGTCAGGATTGTTGCAGTCATTTAAATTTGGATCCAAAGTTTCATCATTTGTGTGCACATGTTGATTTGTTTGAATCTTTACCAGTTAATTTAAAATACACCATTTTACCTTGTCACCCTGCTCTTGAGCAATGTCCAGATGTCTTTGGCAGCAGACGACAGCCTCATCAAAGCGCCCCAACACTTTTAAAGTGTTGCCAAGGTTGCCACTGGCTTTTCCTTCTCCAATTCTGTCTCCTATAGTTCTGAGAAATGGAAAACACATCGTTTGGTTTATTGGTGGGAGCGCAGATGACTTCACTCAGTTAATTTGTTGGTTAAACAATAACTATTAAGATGCTTTAACAGGATTTAATTGGGAAATAGTGCAGGATTTGTTACACAACATTATTTGCTTACTTCCAGGGATCAGGTCCCAGTGGTCCTGGTGAGAATGTAATGTAACAAGGTAAACCTCCCAGGGGTGTTTAATCACTTCCCTGCTGAACTACCAGCTGCACTCACTGCAGGAGAGCAGATAACTCACAAGCTAAATAAACAAATTTTAGTTGCAGACTTTTACTATACAAAAATCCAAAAATGTTTATTTTTTTTTCCTGGTGGTCTCTTTGCATCTAATTGTGTAATAAAAATAAAATATAATAATAAAAATATATTGGAAAAAGTAACCTGAAATCACCTTGTAAGGCAACTGGGTTGTCAAAAAAAATTGCAATAGCCTCAAGAGAATCAACCATGCAAGACTTCAAAATAAGCTTTTAAAGCAAATATATAATAGTTTGGAATAATTAGGTTCCTACACGGGCAGTATCAAGTGGATTTTAGTCTGACGTCTTTACTCATTGAAAAAATGTTTTTCTTTAACCCTTGTAATTACTGGCTTATGTAAAAGTGGGATTTACATGTTAGCTCTGCTTATTGTGTTTTACTGAAGTAACCAATGACCCTGTGGTGCATCTGTATAATATTAAATGTTTTCTTCTGGGATTGTCTGCACATCAAACACAAAAATCACATGCATCACTCATACTTGCCAGGAAAAAGACTAAGCACAGAGCAGAGCTTTTTCTTAAGAAGGTGACAGCTAAAATATGAATTGCATCACTCATCTTAAAAATGGTGTCCATCTGAAAGACTTATAACCAATAAAACATTAGTAAAGTTACGAAGAGACTTCCTGCCTCTTAATTTGTTATTAATACTTGTTGAAAATATTAATGAATCAAAAGCATTTTTTTTTTTCCCCAAAGCATTTTTTCCTTTTTCACATTCTAAAAATCAATATTAATTTGGGGGGAAACTTATCGACCAATATCTTTTTCTTAATAATAAATATGGAAAGTGTAATGTTTATTTTTTCATACTGTGAAAATATATTGCTTTAAAACTGTCAAATGCAAAAAAAAAAAATCTATACATTTAATAGCTTGAGTGCTCACCTGGCCAAGGTGAGGTCATGTTTGTGGTATTCCAGGGCTTTGCCATACTCTTTGAGGTAAAAGTAGGCGTTGCCAAGCTGGCTGTAGATGGCACTGAGGGTCTTCAGGTCTTCTGTGCCAACCTGGACAGCGGCCTCAAAAAACACTGTTCCCCCTTTAAAGTCCCCAGCCTTGCAGAGCCTCTCTCCTTCCAAGGCCAACTCCAAGCAAGACGCCTCCATCCTGAATGATGCAAAGTTCAAATAAATCAGCACAAAAATTATTGCACAGATGATAATGTACAGTTACAGAAATACAATTACAGCAGTGGTGCAAGATCATCCCACGGTGAAGCGCTGACAGCATCACCATGACAACAACAAGGTCTGTAGCCGCTTCTGTGGACTGTTGCCTTAGCAACAGAGTCTGAGCTTTAAGATAGATACCTTGAGATGTTACACTTCACTCATTTCTGCTTACATCAGGCTAAAATACTCTTGCACTGATCATTATCTGTATAAAGCTTTCGAAAGTGCTTAGCTTTTCATGATTTAATTTTTTTTAACAAAAAGCAAATCTATATTTTCCATGTCTAGAGACGCACTGCGTAATCATTTACACTTTAAAATTCTTATTTTACCAACATTTTTGTGTGTTTAAAAACATTTCAGTAGACAACAGTACAAGTACAACAAGGCCTAATCAGAGAATTGCAGCCAGAAAGAAGATACTCCAGGTTCATTGTATAATCCAGGATCAAGTAAAGAGCAGCTGAGTTGTACTTCTAAAGTCCACATAAGTCACCAGAACATAGAGTTAAGTAAGGATTATCCGTGAATCTGATTAGTTTTACGAAATGCCTCCTTCAAGAGTAAAAACAAAAATAAACAAATAAATGCATAACGGGATGAGGGTTCTTTTAAAGTGGAAAAATAATGTTTGTGCTACCAACATGGTCTTAAACCAGAGGTTATTGTTTTAATCAGATGTTGAATGAGTCTACCTGAAGTTGATTGGTTTAAAAAGTGGCAAAACGCTCACATCAACACAAGTACCTGTGTTTATGCTTGGTTCGTAGTTTGTCCACATACCCCCGGAGCTCCAAGTGTAAAGGTTTAATCATAGACTGAGGTCGGGCTCCACAATGAACCAGTCTACACACTGCCCTCTCTGCTCCAGTGAGAGGACAAGGCTCAGCAGCCATGACGAAAAGTTGAAAAAGAAAAGCTAAATGCTCAATAAATCAATTAATAAACACGACTATTTAAACATAAGCAGAAGTTATTAACTAACACAAATCCCATATGATGCAGTGCTGAGATTTTTGACCATGCCAGCTGTCCAATACATTTCCATTTTGTCTATTGATGGCTCCAACAAAATCCAAAGTACTGAAACAAGTAAAGCAAATCTGGATACATTCGAACTGTGACTTATGACCACACACCATCCATGAACACCCAAGAACAACATCTGCTTTTCAAGTCTTCCAAGTGTGTTCCAAAAACCAATGGTTATTCTTCCATTGTGGTAGCCAAAACAGTCAACGGGGAATAAAAAAATAAAAAATTCCACAAAACAACAGAACCAGTTACAACTGTACTTCTTGGCAAAACTACTGCTTAAAATGTCTTCAACTCCCAGTTTTTTTTTCCTTCACTAATCCATAGAAATTCCGTCTAAATGTTGATTTATTCTTTGTCGTCATCAGTTCCTAGTATCCATAGCAAGAATGCATCTCCTCCTTCGATTGTTGTCAACCTATTTTCAGCTGAAACAATGGAATTCATTGTTCTGCCTTTCAAAGCAAAAGTTGTTTACCACAGCATTCTGGGTTAGAGCAGAGATACATTTTACTATGACTGGGTTAGAGCAATGCACTTAGGCTTGTCCACTGCCCTAGTGAGAGACAGAAAGAAGGGATGAGAGGGACACGGAACTGCTAATCCTGTAACCTGCACTTCCTTAAGAAAGAGCACGAGGTGAAGCGAGTGGCCCTGACTAATCCACCTATCTGCTGACATGAGCAAAAACATATTTAGGACACCAGCAAAGACGCATAAAGATTGGGATTAAGTTATTGAATGAATGCACCTTCCTTTGAACATTAAGATTTTATTTTTATGCAAAAAATAAACACATCAATAAATAAGGATTTAAACTGGCATTTTTATTTCTCATTCACCCCAGTCTGCTTCAACAGTTGAATCATGACAAACTCTTGAAAATATCCACTTATAATTACTGCAAGTGCATCTGTGCACCACGAACAACTGATGCAGTCTAGACTCTCAACTGTACCCATGTTTAAAGAAAACTTAGATTATTTTTAAAATTATAAAATTGTGCATATATGCATTTTATGTATTATCAAAGGCCAAGGTAATGGTACAAAAAAATGCAGAAAGCCATTTGTTTAAAAAAATTATCCTCTAATCTAAATGTTCAGAAACATAGTTGCTCAAAGCAGATTAACTTTGTTGTTGTGGTTGAACTCAGAATCAGGGCTCAAGTACTTTTTGAAAGGTACGCACTACATAAAGGGACACTGGAATTGCAACTGGTTACTATTAAAGATAAGCGTTTGAAAATGTACATACGCATGATAAACTAAAAATAGCAAAAGCCACTCCAGTGCCAATTGAAGAAACACTGCAGCTCAGTAAATATGTGGAAACTCAACAGCCCCCTAATTAAAATGCCAACGAATTTTACAGATTGCTGCAATTTACCAAAAGATATTCAACTATGCCAAAGCTACTAGTGCAAAAAGGAAATTGCAAGATTGCATGACTGTTCATGGCAAAAGAGAGGTCAAAGAGTTTACAAAATCTTACATGTTTTAATTTGAGTGAAAAACTCCACGGACAATAAGTTAGGGCTGCTGTTTTAGAGTGAGCGTGATGTTCTTTGTTGCATTAAAACATTCAGAATCTGACCAACACAAATACAAAAGACCTTGAGGAGAATCATTCAGTACTGGCGAAAACTGTGTTTTGCATAGTATTCAATCAAAGGAACGTACCAATCACAAATATGAAGGGACCGGACAAGGATAGTTGTTCTAGCAGATAATTTTTTTGAAGTTCAATTTTAGTAGAAAACCAGATGTTGAGAAGAAAGACAGATGGTAATTACACCAGTCAAAGCCACTAATGAACTATAAAATTAGGTTTAAAAAAAATGAAGAAAAGCAAAATATTTAAAGAAACCCTTTTGTCAAAAATGTTACACTTTCTATTCAAAGTTATGCAACTTAAAATACTTAATGTGGGCTGGCTGCTTTTTCTGGCAGAAAATAAGTTCAAGACAAAAACTGATATAGATCTGAAGTGAGAATTACAACAGATTTAAGGAGTCAAAATATTACAAAAAAACTAAAACAAAATAGCAGCTAAGACAAATACAGTTTGGTTTCCACCACAGAACTTCAACGTTCAGTCTTACAATCTTTGTGGCTGGAGTTAAACATGTTTTGTGCAAAAAAAAAAAAAAAAGTCAGCTATACTTTCCTCTGATTAGCCTTTCTGTTGCTCTTTTTGGGGAAATAGTCATCCCATAATAAACTGCCAATGATCCAACAAAGAAGACCTTCAAGTCACTACAACAGCAAAGTGTCAGGAAGCAGGGTGTAGCAGCAATATAAGGTATTATAATTAATTATATAACCTTCAATATGTTGATTAGCAGTTAGTTTGAAGGTGAAATTAGAGTCGGGTGTTTTCAATCAATGGGATGACGATAGTGGGGGGGGGGGGGGTGTCATGCAGCAAGACAAAGACCCCAAGTTGTTCTACCAAAGAATGGCAGAACAACTTGAAGAATAAAGTTCATGTTTTTCATGTTCAGGATTTTTCTAATATTGAGCAGTTAACATTTTACAATTAGAATAAAAAAAATGTATATAAAAAAAGAAATTATTAATTACTATCAGTTAATTAGAAAAGTTGAACAACCTATTTAGAACTGTTATTTAAAGCAAGTGATGCGTGCATACTCTGGTACATGCTTGTGACACAACCATACATATATGATGAGTGATACTTTAATGCAGTCTAATTCTTAATGGATTTTTATTTCAAAACCAAAAGGTCTGCGTTTATAATTCTTGGCATCACGTTGAAACCCTGGGCTCAGAGTCGTAATAAACCCATAATTACAGACTACCATAACCAGTTGTCAAGGAAACCAAAGAGAAACTCTTTAGGAATGTCCTCCTTCCTGCAGAGAGGGTCTCCTTCAGAGAAAATCAGAACTGTCTTGCGTTTTCTTTGCTCTCATGAATCTGAACGTCTTTTTTTTATTTTGTTAGTAATGAATACTATTTTTCTTAGTTGCAGAATTACTTGGATAGAATTATAATTTGTTCGAAAAAACACCAGGCGAAACTCGTGCTATAACTTTCTCCCCCACAATAAAAAAAATAAGAAGAATTTTAAAGGTATTGGTTAAGAAAAACACAAAACGCCTAGAGATAATTTCCTTCATCTGACTTTTTGGAAGACACGCACTATCCTCAACCCACATGGTGGAAAGGTCATGTTTTGACTTTATCTAAAATACAAAAAGGAAAAGCAACCGCTCTGTGACCAACACTTCAACGTGTGTATTTATATTTGTGTGTGACTGTCAGGGACATGACAACCTTGCAGGCCTCGTGAATGTCACTTCTCAGATCAACACTTCCACACCGACTGCTGTGTTCGCAACACTAAGAAGGTGATTCTGGCTTTGTGTCAATTTCTTTTAATGTTTTTTTTTTTTTTTTATGAAAAGACAATGTTAACATGTATGTGTGCACAAACTTAAAAGTATTTCCGTACATCCCATTCCTTTAGAGTGACACTTGAATTTTAATCCAACTTATTGTATAAACTTGTGATTCATCTTTGATTTGTTATGACTGTATACTGTAGATGGGACCAAATCAATAAATTCTTAGAGGGATATTTAAAAAAAAACATAACTTTCAGATGTTTAACAGCATTCTTGTGGTGTGACATGACAAACACATCAACGTCAGACCTTAATCCTCCAAAGAGTCTGATATACAGTGATCATTAGTTGATCCACTTAGTTAATTGGTTGATAAGACTCTTTGTTGACAACAGGTAGTTGTCAATCTTGTCAAAATTGACAATATATTTATTATAGCCAATGATGGAGGAAAAGGAAAAATAGCCCATGCAAAGTAATATAGTACATGGTAATATGGAGTAAAACTGAAAGTGTTGTGTGCTACTCTGGTACTTTTAACCTTGTGTATACTGAATATATCCAACCTGTTGACAGTCTGTCCTTATCAATATTCTTTCTAAGTTTACAGAGCTCCTCTCAGTCTGTACACTTGAATGAGCCAAACCCAGGACCAGGACCTGGACTCTGGATCACCAGCTGGTCCTGAGCTTTGTTAAATCACTGAAAGCTGGCTGCTTAGCTCCTCCTTAACTTCAGACCTGAGCTAGCAGCCCCTGTTTGTTATTCTCCCCTCGGTTTTTCTTTTAACCCTCTTAGCCGCTTCCGTTCGTATATTTTGTCTAATTTTCGCCGACGATGGTCGTGGTACAGCCACGGCTGACCCCGTCGTGTTCCTACCTTGAGTTGAGCCTCTTGCTCGCCAGGTCCTGGCTCACGCCGTTAGCCGCTGACTGAGCCATGGGAGCTGCTAATGTGCTCGACTTCGAGCTCGCTTCCTCTAGCTAGGTTTCTTTTTTTTTTTTTTTTTTACAATTACTTCCTCCAAAGGCAGCGAGCCTTTTCTTCCTCCTCGAGGCGTGCCGCTTCTCGGCGCCCTCCCCTCTCGTTTTTTCTCTACTCTTTCTTCATTCAAGTAATGGCAGCTTCGGCGACGGAAGTGAGGTTTCCTACAAACAAACCCGGAAGCGCGAAGCCCCGCCCCTCGTTTACGTCACGTTGTCTCGGCTGCTGAGCCAGAACATTAGTATGAGACAATCTCTCATTATTCTAGCAATGTAATCATACAAAGGCATTCTGGACAGATGTACAACAACTCATACGACAGAAAACTGGACAAATACTTCAACTTACAGGGAAATATATTATGGATAAATATACCTGGATTATTGAGCATGGACTTTGTTGATATGGATAAAGACTTGATGCACTTCACCCAACTTCTACTTCTCCTGGGAAAATTTCACATTCACAAGAAAAAGTGGTCAAACTTCAAGCCAAGCATAACCCACTTCAGCAAGGAACTTTACATATACAGCACCACAATTAAAAGACTTGAAAACAAAAAGGCAGTTTTAGAAAAACTTAATGGGAATGTATCTATATAACCTGCAAATAGATTGTTTTGTAGCTTTTTCGACTTTTTTTTTTACCTTTTGTACCCTTTTATAATGATGTTGTTCTTTTTTATACTTGAATACTATTGCCTTTGTACCTGCTAATATACCCCTGGCAGACGTTTGTAATGTTGATAAAAAACTTAATTAAAAATAAATAAATAAACATTACAGTATGAGCTCTGGGTATGTACGGAAATACTGTATTTCCATCCATCCATCCAATTTTAACTCATTTACAGCTTAAATATGCAAAGAATAGAACAGAAGACTGTTGGAGTCAGCCTCCCCACCATCACAGACATCTACAGCTCCAGATGCAGGAGAAGGGCCAGTTGCATCATGAAGGACCCCACTCACCCAGCACACTCACTTTTTACCCCGCTCCCCTCAGGCAGGAGGTTGAGGAGCATTAAGTGTAGAACCACTAGACTGAGGAACAGCTTCTACCCTGAGGCTGTTACACTCATGAATCTCGAACCAGAATAATCACTGTGAAAAATCACATCATGTTGCTGCTGATCTGTTTCATGCTGCTGCTGATCTGTTTCATGCTGCTTTGTTCATTTGTGCTCATCTGCTCACACAGACTTAGTGCTGCTGATGTGATGCAAGTAAAGGAGGTGAGAAAAGGATGTACAGGCAAAGGTGACAAAAAAAGATCAGCTTAGAGTAGTATCACTTAGATTATATTATATATTGTATTATTATATATTATATTATATAAATTATAATGGTAACTCTAAATTGTCCCTAGGTGTGAGTGAGAGAGTGAATGGTTGTTTGTCTCGTTTGTCTCTATGTGTCCCTGTGATGGACTTGCGACCCGTCCAGGGTGTACCCCGCCCCTCGCACAGTGATTGCTGGACATGGGCACCAGCGACCCCCGTGACCCAAAATGGAATAAGCGGGTAAAGATAATGGATGGATGGATGGAATCTCACTAACTTTCCTTGTGATTCAGGATCCTGGAAGAACCCTTTTCTAACCCCTACATAAATACCTCTCAAATTATATATATTTTTTTTATCTAGTATTTGAAAACAGACAGGACAACCCCCCCCCCCCCCCCATATCTGAACCTATGTATCATGAGACGTTTAACAGAAGTTTGACTCTTCAGTTGTTTTTTGTATGTTTTTAATCATTCAAATTACACATGCTCTGCAGTACATACATTTGGACACAAGAGGGCAGAACTGCACTGTAGCAATGCATGAAAACAACAGAAGACAACCAGATATTGACCTGGAATTATTCTTATGACTGAAAATATTTCAGTATTTCTCTTTTTTTCACATATACATGACTGAACTGCCATAAAGTCAGTTTTAAATAAAATATAGCGGTTTTTAAATGTCTTACAGGAAATAAGAAAAGTGCTGAGGAATACAATAGACATATTGATAAGTAAATTTGATTCTGATTAGATTTATGTTGCTAAATGGTATGCATGTGAATACATTTTTTGAGAAAATCTAATGCATTTTCTGAAAAGTTATATAAAAATTAGAAATAATACAAAAAAATGTGTATTATTTGATATGGTTAAAGTCAGTTATTACAAAATAAATAAACACAGAAAAACACATTTAATTGGTCTTTTTTTTTATAAAGTCATTAATGGAGATGAGGTACAGTTTTAGTGACATCACATATGGGTAAATATTTATGCCTGAATATCATATATTAAAAATGTTTTTTGATCCAAAGACAAAGAAGTTTCCACTAATCTTCAGATGTTTGTTTTGTTTGGTATGAAATCCTGGCAGAAAAAAATAAAAAACATTAGTTTAATAAATGTCTGTGTCTATATTTAGACTAAAGAATTTTCTCAAGAAAACTCAGTGTTCTCACACAACACAAACATGTTTTACTTTATATTATGTTGTATAATTTGTTATTTTTTGTATTAAATCCCCAGTTGGGTGTTGTGCATGTGAGCAGCAGCTTATTTCAGATGACAAAGATGCAACAAAAAGAAAACAAGATGGAGGTAAGCTGATTTTAGATTCACAGCTGAGCAACTTAAATTTACTTTGTTTTTGTTTTGTTTGCAAAAATAAAACCATCTGTTTTCTAGTAGGTATAAGCTCTAATTGTCATATTGTTTTCCATAGAGTCTGTCAGGAGATTACTGCTTTCAACTGCAACAAACTGGAAGATTAATTGCCTGGTTCTTTAGCAAAATCCATCATGACGATTTGTTGTTTTCTGTTTGTTTTAAAATAATAATAATAATAATCATTTTGATTCTGTAAGCCAAAGAAAGCAGAAGACTCCTGATCTCAATAAATGACTTAAATTTAAAACAGACCCTACAAATTTAAAATGTTCCAAAAAAAATTTGCTTTCTTTTAAATGGTCAATCTAAAAATTGGTCTGAGCATTTCAGACAACACACTACATTTCTACATTTTAAAGTGCATACGTTAAAAGAAAATAGTTTATGTGGGATGCACAATAATACCACCAACTTATTGTTTTATTGTGATTTTTATTCAGACGTTTGTGTGATGTGTTTAGCTATAAAAGGTGTGTTTTGTTTGTCAAAATGCAGAATTAATTTACCTTCCAAACATGTTTCATAAAATCAGTTTTATAAAAATATACAAATCAATTAAAAACATTCACCAGAACTAGGTTGTTATAAAGTGGAACTTGTTTATGTTTCATATTCAAATTATTCTGTACTATGAACAAAACTTAAAAAAAGGAAAAAAAAAAGTATTGTGGGGAAGAAACATGAAAATAAAAAAGTGATTTTTTTAATATTTTTTTTTAATACCTGTACCTTCTAGTCTTTGTCAATGCAATTTATTTATTTATTTATTTATTTTTTATCAGACCACAACCTTTTCATCAGAATCTTTACGATTACAGGTCTTTGGTTATATTGACCTTTAGATGTATTACAGCTTTACTATAAAAATGTTTCAAATAAAACAACAACAGCATCAACAAATGTTCACAAAGAAGAAATCAAACAATGATGCCACCCTTTGGTTGGTAAAAAAAATAAATAAAACAACTAAAATAAGGCAAATTGACATTATAACTTTTATAAATAATATATAAATATATATTTTTGTTCCAAACATAAATAATCAGTGATTGTTAAAACAGTCCACCAAATATAGTCATTAAACCTTCAATTTATGCAACCAGAATTAATAACATTTAATGCCAAATTATTGTGTTATGATGTTTTTTTAAACATATGAACCTTAGCCATCAGAACAAAACAGAATTGCACCACAGGAAACTATAGCCTTCTTAATACCAGAGGGATTGTGGGAAACTGAATGACTGTTTTGGGGATTGAAGGAAGATAAAGGACATTCAGCAAAGGGTTAAAGACGGGGATCAGAGACATCAGCTCCAGTTGGAAACACTTATTATTCATTTCTCCTCCACTTCCTTCCCTCGCTACTTTTGACCCTCCCTCCTCGTCTCATCAAGCTCCTAGGCTGATTTCAGAAAAGATTAAGTGTGACTTTTTTTTTCTTCCCCCCATTAGGTAAATTGTTTTCTCCACTGTTCATACCTTTATGGTAAAACCTTAAAAACAACGGTCGTTTTTTAGCTCAGCGTATTACAATTAAAAACAAAGACTTGTAATACAACACTGAAAATCAGGGAAACAACAGTTTGCAGATATGTGGCATTTTTATTCTCAAATCGTTGACACTAATATGAGTTCGGGGGTGGGGGGGGGCATTTCTAGGCATTTATTTAATCATTTACAAATAATGAAATAAATGCATTAAATGTTTCATATAGCATGCAAAGAAAACAGTCTATATTATGTTTTAATAATGTGTTTTAATAAAATATGGTGTTTTTGTCAATGCAAAGAGATACGAAATTGTTACAGTTTTATATATTTCCAACACCACCCTTAAAATGTATTGGGGTTTGCTGTTTAAATACAAATTTCTATGTCAGTTTTGATTGAATAGCAACAACTCGTGCTCCACAAACATTGTGTTGTTGGCAGAATCTGTCAACATTAAGAGCATCTTTCACAGATTCGAAAGATTTAGATTAGAAAGTTACCAGAACCATGTGCAGAAATCCACTCTCTTCCAAGGAAGCATGCGGTATGTTTTTGTAAACTGCGCTAAAAACAATATTTAATTTCAGTTCATCCATTATCTTTACCCGCTTCTTCCATTTTGGGTCACGGGGGTCACTGGTGCCCATAACCAGCCACCACTGTGCAAGAGGCAGGGGACACCCTGGACAAGTCTCCAGTCCATCACAAGGACACATAGAGACAAACGAGACAAACAACCGCTTACACGAACATTCACATACATTATAAAAGTTAATTAGTAAAAGTTATCTATCTAAGGAAGCCAGCAGATTGTGCTGAATTTTCACTTCATCGCAGTCTCCCATCCTGAGCAAGCACATCGGCGACAGTGGAAAGAAAAAAACTCCCTTTTAACAGGAAGCAACCTCCAGCAGAACCAGGCGCAGGACGAGCGGCCATCTGCTTCGACCGGCTGGGTCAAAGAATAGATCTAGAAATAGAAATGGAAAGCACAACATCCATATTTGTTTTATCTATCTAGAATAGTCATAAAACTGATTTATTTAAATCATTTCTGTCATGTGTTGGACTGACAGTGAGCTTCTAGGGAAACTAGGAGTGCACTTTCT